ATATATATATATATATATATATATATATATATATATATATATATATATATATATTAATTTCATCACGGCAATCGAATAGCTGAACTAGATAACAATTGAAAAATTACTATACATAGCTGTCAAACATTTATAAAATAATCAAGTGATCATCTTAAGATTGATCAATGATTGGAATTGATATATAGTTATGTAATAATCATTGATATATTACGCAAATTACAATAATATATTTCGCCTTGATATTAATTTAAACGTTCCGTTCATTGCATCTTGAAATATAATAACGAAATTTTCATAAAATGTTTTTTTTTTTTTTATAAATTTTTCTTATGACGGAGCGTTATATCGTAGCGATATTATCATGTATATACAAACTTGAATTTTACACAATCTATATCCGATTTTATTACAAATGTTGATCGCGAAGCATTGTGTATTGCAATATGAATTGTTATAAGTGTAATAATATTTTGTAACTATAGAATCATTCATATCTATGTGTGTTGTGTAATATTAAAAATTGAGAATCCAGATTGATAATTGATGTCCATTGGTCTTGCCTGGAACAATTAGTAAATTTGTATATCGAAATTTCTTAGAATATTCTATATTAACACATATGTTAAAATCTTCAAACAAAATAATAAAAATCGAAAACGTATAATTATACAAATTATACTGAATGCTTGAAATAATATGAAAAGATCAGATTTGTTTAATGAGCAGCTAAATATAGAATGTATTATGAAACTTTGCTTTGTAAGATTTATAAGTATTTGTCAAATTGATGTGGATTATTTTCCTCTGCAGAATATGAAAATTATTTATTCTGATATTCATAATGAGGATTATATAAATCGTTTGATGCATATATCATAAAGAGAGAAAAAGATAAATTATCTGCGTGTAACATCTTTTTATGGAGTGTTCACAAAAGGCAGTCATTGTACATGTAGGTCTAATAAAATACATTATTATTTGTATGATTGTGAAACACGAATTTATACACTTTTGGTATAAGAAGCATGCGTAATGCGATAGTGAAAAATAACAAAATATACGCTACATTCTTGTTATCGCATTTAAATAAGATGTACAAAGAGCTATACGTAAGCTTATGTGTGTGTATATATATATATATATATATTAAACATATAGGCACATATGTATATAAATCAATATACCTATAGCTAGATTTGTATGCAGAAATGACTGTTTATTAACTGATGAACCGATAAATACAGGAAAAGTGCGTTTAATAATAATGGCATATTACTGCAACAGGGTGTCTATTCCCTGAAAAAACATGGAGAATCTGGACTTTTCAGGATTTTTTGTGTACTTGGAAAAATCAGGGAATTCTCATAGAATTTTATTGAGATACAGGAAATTTTTTTAAATAGTCCTCTTTTTGATAATTTTGCTCTTATATTGTAAACAGTCGACGAGCCAAGTAAATTATGTGTTTAAAATATATTATAAATATATATCTATGTTTGTTTACATTGCATATTCAATGTTTTAACAAAATATTGAATATGCAGTATGTATTCTTTATTGTAATTTTTAGTGATAAAAAATGAAAATTTTTATATGGCAGTTATAAATGTTTATCTTACGAAAGTAATTCAGATTTTTTCAGTACATTTACAAATCTAACACTTGAGATAAGAGGTTCTGTCTTTTTTTTTCGTTTGAGCGAAAAACATTAGAAAATGTACAGTAAAAAAATTTATTTTAAAAAGTTGCATCAAAAAATCTTTAAAATATTTTCTTTACCTGGAATTTTGAATAAAAATACCTGGAAGTTCAGGAAATTTTTTTACAAAATTTGAGTAGACATCCTGTGCAAGTAATTTGTCGAGTCGGTTCGTTTTATTTGTTTACTGCTTTGAATTTATAATCACAGCATTAGAATCCACCTGATATTCGCTGGCAAATATTGCCAGCAATGTATTTTATACGCAATAATGTGTCTCGAAAATCATCAAAATTATTAGGAGAATACATTTCGGCAAGAGGTAACCCAGATAGCCAAGTCTGTCGAAAGCAAATCATGCCAAGTGCCTGCTATCAACTATTGTTAGCAAAAAGGATACAAATTTGGTACAGAAGTTGTTATTACAGATTAAATCGACAGATTGGTGCCAAAAACAAAGCAGAGTATGCTCACAGAATCTGACAGCAGAAAACGAGCAGGATTTGCTAACATGACTTGACGTCAGATTGGTGGCAAAAACCGAGCAAAATCTGCGCGCTCGCAATCTGATGGCAGATTGATAACAAAAACCGAGCAGGATCTGCGCGCGTGCAATTTGACGGCAGATTGGTAGCAGAAATCGAGCAGGATCTGCTAACATGACTTGACATCAGATTGTCGGCAGAAACCGAGCAAGATCTGCGTGCGCGCAATCTGATGGTAAATTGGCAGTAGAAATCAAACAGAATCTGCAGCTTTTAGCATTCATATAATTTATTGAAATAGTATAGTTTATTCGCTTACCGCTATGCGGCGCACTATTTACTTTCTATACCCGTATTCAAGTTCTTGTCAT